GATATAATATTGTATTTATCTGAATAAAGCTAAGTGCCAGAGACCTAAGTGGTCACCTTAATATTAAAAAAAAAAACAACAACTTGATTACGATTACTTAGCCATATTTGTGGTGTATAACTTAATAGGTTTTCTAAAGAAAACCTATTATTATCTCTAATAAAATAATTAATATCTTCATATAAAGATTCACGTTCAAGTAATACAATATTAACAATTTCTTCTATGCGTCTCTGCTAATTGCAATGCTGAGAGCTCTATTGTTCAGTAAGATTCTTATTTTCTTCACACTTTTCTTGATATAATTTTTTTAATCATACTATCTTATTACAATACTCATTTATTCATCTTTTCAACTCTGATATCTCTAGTCTTTGATCTTCTACTTGTTGCTGCAATTCAGTAACAACATTAGTAAGATATAACATATACTCATTATTTTCTATTTGACTTTCATCCTCATTGATTATCTCTTCAGAAGCAGAACCAGCGTCGATTTGAGATTTCTTATGTTTGTAATCTGTATGATCTAAATTAGAATTACCTAAAAGATTTCGATAAAAAATGTCATAAGTTATAACTTCATTATAATGTATTTGACAAACAGAATGAGAATTCAAAGAAAGATTAATAAGCTCTGATATAAAATTATGATATAATGCAAGCCGCCCAGCTGCTTTTGGACTATTAGTATTTTGTCAAGTTTGTGATCTTCTTTTATCACAAGGACTTAATCCGAATCCCTTGTATTTACTAGCTATTGTAGAAAATATACAGAGAAGATCTCGGGTTTTGATTTTTGTTGGGCTATTGGGTGTTGCGATATCTTAAATTCTAAGTTTCTAGTATGCTGTTATATAATAAAAAGCTATATATTAAAGTTTTTTTTTTTAAATTTTAGGCTTTGACTACTTTTTTATAGAAAGCTGATCTCAAAAATATCACAAAAGATCACTAAACTAGAGGTTTTTTGCTCTTAACTCAAATATTTATAGGCACAATTAATTATTACGAAAAGCCACAATCTATGGCTAAAGGGAACTGACAGGAGTTGGCAAAAGCTAATTAGATTTTAGCAAATTTTTAAGGAGTATTCTAGAATGGATTTCCATTTTTGGTAATATGCCCGACTGTAATAGTACAACAACAAGTTATAGATATACAAAAGGGTATATAGCAGTATGTAGTTTTTTTCCTTTTATTATTTTGATATTTATCTTATATATTAATAGTACAACAACAAGTTATAGATATACAAAAGAGCATATAG